TTGGAAAGCGCGTTAGACGGGACGTGGCGGGTGACGAACGATGACGACGATGGAAGTCGTCATGTTGGGGCGTGGGTGGTGCCGAGATGAGACCGTACCGTTTTTGTGCAGATCGTGGGTTCACAGGGGACCTTTTGTGACAAGGGGGCGAGCATCGTGTTTGGAGGGCTCCAGTTTGGTGGTAGTGGTTTGTAATGGGGTGTAGTAAAGTGATGTACTCAGTGAGCTGAGCGTGTAAGAGGATAGTGCACTCAACGTCATGCGAGTCTGCTTTTGAACGGTGGTTTTATTGTGATTTCTTTGACTTGTTGAGAAGGCGCTCTCACGAGTATGTTCCTGAATCTATGTACAATTGTGCATGAGTAGGCATATCATCTAATCTCATTTCCATCGTCTCACATATCCATCTAGCAGGTGGTGTTGCCAGTCTGGGTCAACAGACCCAGGTTCCACGGCAGCGCATTGTAGCTCCCGGTCGCCTGAGGATCGATACCCTGGTACAAGAACCTCATACCACACGGCTTGATCGAGAGCGTCTGGTCAACCTGGGACCTGATCAATTCTCCATGGCTAATACTGTCCGACCACCTGTTTCCATTGGCAAACTCGACATTCGCCTCACCCATGAAGGGGCTCTGCTGGGTAGCGGCAAGCGGCTTCCATTCGTCGGCCTCGAGCGAGGAAGACGTCCAGGAGCGGAAGTAGCGTAGACCACCGGGGGAATCTCCTTGTCCGATGCACTCGACAAGTAGGAGGTAGGTGCTGTTGTCAACGCGATAGACGGTGGCTGCTTCGAAGAGGTCGTTCTTGTTGGGCTCCGAGAGGGTGATGACAGGCTCGCTCATTCCAGCGGGGAACTGGGCAACGGTCGTTTGGCTGCGGTAGAGGCGGCCGTTGTCATCGTGGGAGAAGAGATGGCAGTTGGCTTCGTCGCATACGACCCACATGTCGACCCAGTAACCTTGCTGAGGGGTGAGAAGGCCCTCTGCAATGAGAGCGGGAGTGCCGTTAGGGTAGAATACTTCCGGAGCAGACCAGCCTGCAGGGTTGGAGATGTCCGGGTTGGTACTGTATGCCGCATTGCCGTTCTGGTAGACGAGGTACCAGAGCTTCTGGGGAGCGAAGTAGACTGTGAAGTGTTAGCTGGGGAATCTTTCTATTTTTATCCTGGTATGTATGGATTTGGAAGAATGCTTTACTTACAAACTTCAGGTGCAGCCCTGTAGCCGGTACCGATGGCGCTCTGGTCGAGATAGTAGAATGGCGCCTCTTGTGCCTTGTCGAAGTCGGTGAAGTTGAAGTACATCAGGTTGTAGCCCTCCTCCTTTGCTGTACTGGCAAAGACGTGGTATACGCCCTCATACTCGATGATTGAGGGATCTTTGATACCTGCGAGGTTGCGACCATCGTTCTTGGGCCTGACCAGGATGTCGCTCGATGTCCAGCTGAAAGTGCTGGGAAGGCCTCCGTTCTGCCTGGCAGCCAACGAACGGTGAGGGACTGTTCGAGCCAATGCTGTGGCCACGAGAGCAGCGCCGGCGAGGAAGATGGAACGCATTGTGGTGGTAGGTGCTTGACAACGGTAGCTACCGAGTTCCTGCTGCGGACTACTCGTTCTTATATAGTCGTTTTTTACCTGATTCCACCAAGCCCGTCGTGTGGAGCCGAAAGCTGGGGAAAATGTTCGTTGACCGGGGTTAGTAGACAATGCAATCTATCTGGGGTAACGGCCATCTTGGTTTTTCCGTCTACCTTTCCTTAACCATTCGTTCGTGCCTGTTCGTGATGGGCACTAGCATCTGTTTTAGGCTGTTTGCCTAGTGCGTATATGTAAACGAGCAGATCGGCCATGTCTTTCTCGACCCGTACCGTCGATTCGTCATCTACACCCTGGAGCGCGCTCCGGGCGAAGCAATATGAGGTGGCAACGCTGTGTTTCTTTCACACTAAACATGTGGTGGCTGCGACCATCGAATCTCGCAGAGTCGCCTTCGAAAAGTTGGGCCACCGGGTCGATCATGGCATCCGGAGACAGATAGGTTTTCGGCGAAGGTCCGATCACGTGGCCATAGAGCCGCAGTTCATCCGGTGGTTAACGGTAGCTTGTCGTCTTGTCGTCTTGATGCCAGATGGCAATAATTCCGCCTACCACAACGCAGCTTCGGTGACGAGCACAGGCAAAAATCGAGCTAAAGTCGTAAACGCCTCCTCGTGAGCGATGCGTCCGCGTAGGAACGACCGTGACCAGGTCCAAGAAGCTTGGAGGCAGGCGGGGGCAACGCCATGCCTAATCCGTCTCACCACGCCGCGTCGCTTGCACGTGCATCTCCTTTTCGCGATAGCAATCCGAAATTCAGTACTCTCTGCGATGCCGACCGCCCGACTTTCTAGTCCACCTGAGCAGTTATGAAGCCGTAATTACGTGCGACGATTTCCGACAGCAGTAACATTCAGCAGCGAGGAGTAACGCATTGCCTCTCGTGAACATCGAAGAGAAGCCGTGCCAAGAGCCTGATTGAATGACTTTTGCGATATCATCTCTGAGCACAAGATCTGGACCGTCGTTACCATGTCGGCCGAAATAGCTACATCGCAGAGCGCAAGCGCAGGCTCTAGTTACGACCGCGACGCAATAGTAGCAAGCATCACCCGATACTACAAACTCCTTTCAAAGACAGTATCGATCAAACCGGCAGACATCGGATACGCTCGAAAAGGAGGGCGCTCCGACAAGAGCATTCCGCTTTCGAAGCTCCGTCGACTCGGCTTCAACGATCGAATGATCGACTTCATCCGCCACGTACCATTTTGTCACAGCAACGATAGGCCCGTCTTTCCAGACACAACCACACTTAATTACTACCCGCACCTTTTTTACTATCCCGAGGAAGATTACAAGCTCGAAGATGCTGATATGACGGGAATGTGGCCGATTGAAGATTCAAGGATACCCGAGGGTATCATCCCACTGTCGGTTCCTCTGGAGGGAAGCTCTCTGGGAACGTGGTGGATGCTGGATACCAACAGTGGTAAGTAATATGACGACGACAAAGATAGACAGTCGGCATCAGTCCTAGTCTGCAGCTTGTCTTCGTTTTTGACTCAGCGTTTCATCTTAGGTGAATTGACTGCTCGTGGCCCGTACATTACGAGGCCACCAGAGGAAGTCCCGGAAGACGAAGAATGGCGTTCGTCTCGACCCGTGCCTGCGGTTGCCTATTTCGACGGCTTGTATGAAGACCTGATATCGCTCCAGATGATACCGCTGCCACACCCTTTTGATCACTGGACAATATAGGAAGCTCGAGATGATAAGATATACGCCTCCGATACCTTCATGTCATGGGCAAAAGTGAGTTTACACGATTCTACCATACACTTTGTCTCCCCCCACCTCCCCTCGCTTGTCCTATTCTCACCGAATGTCTACAAGACTGGATGGATTAACGCGACACCAGGAAGCTAGGGCTATTTATCGACAATGCCACTGGCCCGATTTGCGCTACTTCCAGCGCGCAAAGTGCCGAAGGCTTCTACTCGAGATGCTAGCAAGATATGATGCACATCAAGACGAGTATTACAAAGAGAGGAAACGGCAACAACAATTGGCGTCGGGAGAAGAGTCTGTAGAAAGAGCCCAGACGCCACCGGTTCCAATACCAGAGAGCCCGCCCCGTGAGGCGCCATGGGGGACGGAGAAGATAGAGGTACAGACTGAGTCGGAGGGAATGTTTGTTACTACCACGTTCAAGATGTGACGTTGACTAAACGCTCTCGTACCTCTACTGTGCAACGAGCGAGCCCTCCACCTCCGCCCCGCCGCCTCCCCTCCGCCTCCCCCACCCACCCCTGTTCGTTACTACTACGTTCAACATGTAAGATAGCGAAGAGGTTTTGCATCTCTAACTAGCAACCATCAAGACCTCCACCTCCTCCCCTCCTCCGCCCCGCCGCCTCCCCCACCCACCCTTAGAGACTATAGTCCCGCAGACTGAGTCGGACGGCATGTTTGTGAATACAACGTTGAGGATGTAGCATTAGGTAGCGATCGTGTACCTTTACTAAGTAACGAGCGACTACCTCCACCTCTCCTCCGCCTCCCCGCCCGTCCTAGTGTAGGTGTCTAGCTAGCAAGACCTTCAAGAACCAACACCTATCAAACTTTCATCATGCGCTTCCCGGCGCGGGTATATATACGTAGAACTCCTCACAAGACACCTCCTCCCGCCCTATCCAAAACCAAAACAGAAGAAAAGAGAGAAACAAGACCAAAAAGATTAATCCACCACCACCCCTCCACCCCTCCACCTTCTTAACTTTCCGCCTTCATACTCCCACAACAACTACAAACCCACCACTCCCTCTCCATAAACGTCCCACAAACCAAACAATTCCAGCCCAACCTCCCCCTCGCAGGTTCAAACGGCGTCGTCACCTCGCCTCCCCGCTTTGACCTCAGATCCGTTCTAGGGGGCGGCCGGGGCAAGTTGGGTATGGAGGAAGAAGAGGAAGAAGAGGCAAAGCGCCGGTGCTCGGGGATGGGTTGGGGTGGTTGTTCGGTGGTGCAGATGGAGCAGGCGAGGTGGGCGAGGGGGTTGTCGAGGGTGCAGGTGGGACAGGACCAGTGGTTTGGGGGAGGGATGTGTGGGGTTTGGAGAGGTTGGGATGGAGGGAGGGGTTGAGGTTGCGGAGGAGGATCAGGTGTTGATGAGGGGAGGGGTGTTGGAGGGAGAGTCTTGTTTCGTCGTTGGTCTTCCCCGTGGGGATGGGGTTTTGATGGTGTTCGTGAGGAAGAAGAGGATTTGGGATTCGAAGGCCGTGATGATGGTTGGGTGACGAGTCGGGATATGGGTCTTTCTTGTGGTGTTTGTGTCATGCTGCGTATAGGCCGAGCTTTCTTTGACGGTTCATTCTCTGGATGTTCAGGCATGTAATAGCCCCCCTTCCCGTTCGATTTCCAACCTGAGTCGCGTTCGTCATTAAGTTGGACACCATTTTTATCATAGTACCCTCCTGGTTGTGCAGTATCGCTTCCTGATGGACGGGGAGGTTGAGCAGGGTAATTGTCGACGGACAACCCGTTCTCTGGATCCCAGGCTAGACCGCCGTTTCCTGTTGGCGCACCTAACCTCTGCATTTCCTCTTGGTACATGAGATCTTGCAGGGCTTGCGCGATGGCCCAGTCATTTGCGTCGTCTTGTTCTGCAGTCGTTCGGAATCCATTTTGGGCTTGTTGGTCGACCAATGTTCCTGCGTTTGCAGTCCCGCTCGCGCAGCCGTCGGTGATGCTGATTCTACGTGACGCTGCATCGGCGATGACCTTGCGCATATCGACGCCACGTTGTACAGGGCGTGATCCGCCTAAGCGATGTCCTCCGTTACTGGGTTTAGATGCGGCGTGTCGCTTTTCAGCGGCCTTCCTGGCATTGCGGCGCATCTCATCAAGTGGGACTCGTTGGCCACCTAGTTTCTTGCCTTGTCCCAGGAAGCCTTCGCCAGTGTAGCCTTTCATGAGAAGGGTCTGGTGTTCGTCGCGGAGCTCATTCCAGAGGTTGTGGAAGTTGCCGTCGTGGGGGCCAAATACGATGTGGCAAAGTTCGTGTAGTAATGTGTCCATGATTTCTTCAAAGGGTAGAAATTGCCTGGCATCATAGTGATACCTCATGCGCACGAGAATCCTTTCTGTGCGATTGACATTAAGACCTTGAAAGTTAGAACCTTTCCGTCATCATGACTTTTGCTTTCTTACCTAGTAGTCGAGCCGATTCGGGTAGGAACTCGCACAGTGTTCTGACTTTCCAGCCGCGCTTCCTCATAATCGGCTTCACCATGGAAGCTGCCTTGCGAAGCATGTGCAACGCCTCTTTCTCCCTAGGCAGATGCTTCAGATGCTCGTAGGCATCGAAATGTGCGTCGATCTCTTTCATGGTTGGGTTGTGTGAGAGGATACGTGCGCGTTGCGTGGTAGATCAACTTGGTGTAGTTGCGAGTTGCAGTAAATGACTCAGTGGATCGGATATACGCGTGGCCAACTTTGCACAGAAGATATAGGAACCTGGTGGCAGAGCCGTGAAGGAAAGTGAAAAGTAAAGAAAGATTGAAGAAAGAGGCGAAGGACGAGGCCAGCCACGTAAGCACTTCACGCGGCCTTTGCTGCTTGACGATGGCAAGGCCAGGTCGTTGATTATACGACTTCACTCAGACAGAGTAATAACTCGCTGCTATTGTAAACAAGGTAAAGGGCGATCGTCTGCAGGGTCAGCAAGCGCGCATATTTTGTGGGAAGATCTGATGCTAATGTTAGACTTGACCGAGAGAGTGGCGCAACAGCTCAGAGGCCGGTTGTGCCTCTCACGTGCGAGCGTGTGCGGATCCCGTTCCGCGAGTCAGTGCCTGACGTAGTGGACTGGCGGAGTCGTCACACTCAGCTGTCAAAGACTTTGAACCTGGGAGCATCGCACGCTGTCAAGTCGTATGATTCACTAATATATCGCTTCTCTAAGACATGTCAAACGACGACCAGCAGATTCTGGGCGTGGTGAGTAAGACAACGGACTTTGACTCTGCGCCTCGCTGACGTGGGTGAAGCTCTCCGAGTACACGAAAGACGTCCGCAACTTCACGGGATCGATATGGGACGCCACTGATGCGCATTTTGCGCATGTCGCCGGATACATCAAGAAGAGCCTTCCTGAAGGCTGGCTGCCAGAACGCGCTCGACCACGCCCGCCACCGCCGCCCCCGCATCCCATCACTGGTGCCTACCTGCATCGCCTGCAAGACTGGGTGTCGCGAAATCGGGCTCTGACGGCAGCCGTCATCGCCTTTGTCGGCACTGGAAGTTTCCTGGTATGGAGAGAACAGAAGAAATACAACCGCAAGCGAAGAGTGCGGCGAGCGAGCAACGGGGCAAGGACGGAGGTCGTTGGTGAGTGCTTGAGGAAGGCGCGAAGCAGTGGCTCTGACTAACACCAACAGTTCTTGCCGGACCACCCAACTCGCCCATCGTCCGATCGCTAGCCCTTGACCTCGAACGACGCGGCTTCATTGTATACATTGTGTGCTCGACCATGGACGAAGAGCAGCAGGTACTCAGCGAATCAAGGGCAGACGTGCGGCCGCTGCACTTGGATGTTGTGGACACGATGGGCACAAAACAGGCCATTCAGAACTTCAACGAGCTCCTTGTGAAACCGCACGTCGCTGTCCCGGGGACGAGCCCGCACAACCTCAATCTTAGCGGTGTCATACTGGTGCCAGACCTCATCTACCCTACCGGGCCTGTAGAGACGGTGACCCCCGAGCTTTGGTCAGACGCGCTGAATGCCAAAGTGCTCAACACCATCGCCGTGACCCAAGCGCTGCTGCCGACAGTCTGTGAGTTCAAATCCAGGGTCCTAATGCTTACGCCCAGCATCATTGCGTCACTACGGCCGCCATTTCATAGCGTAGAGACTGCGATCGTGAGCGCACTCGAGGGGTTCCTGGCATCACTCAGGGCGGAACTGGGAACCCTTGGCATTGAAGTTTTGCAATTTCATCTGGGGACTTTCGATCTCACAAACGTGGGTCCGAAACATCATCTCCAGACCAGAGGGCTTGGGAGCCCACACGCTTGGCCAGCAACTACCAGAGCGCTGTATGCCAATAACTTTGAAGCGCAGACGCGTGTTGCGCAGAACCGGGGGTTATTAAACCACAGCGGCTCAAGTCTTCGGGAATTGCACAACGGTGTGTTCGATGCACTCACGCAGAAGCGGCCAAGGAAGGTATGGCGCGTCGGACGTGGTAGTGTGACATACGATCTGGTGGGCAATTGGGTACCGGCTGGGATTGTTGGGTGGATGATGGGGTTAAAACGTGTGTCCCTGGACACAGCGTCGGAGCCGAAGCTAGAGGATAGCGTGCAACTGCAGTCGTGGGAGAGGATCGATGCGATCGCCTAGACGACGGACCCCAGAACCTAGACAACAACTCGACGATGTGGAGAATCACTAAGATGATCACGATGCGCAACGTCATAGACGGACTGTGCCTGCGGGAGTGCGTGGCATCGGCGTGACCTGAAGATCGCGCCCGGCGCTGCAAGATCACGAGATTGAGATGGTGTATTGGCCCAAGGACGGGCACGCAGGGCGAGCGTAGTGGCCGATGGCATCACGTAAAAGACCCTGAGCCCCTTGCCGGCACGGGTCTCAGCGAATGTTCCCTGCATGGTTAGATTTGCAGGCACGCAGAGAATCCAGTCGACGAGCGGTATATAGTCACGGCGATATAGGCAGAAACAGCGCGCTCTTGACGTGAAGCGTTGCAGGAACAGTGGTTCGCAGGACGGGCAGCAGTTAAATGAGCAAAAGTCTGGAACATGTTCCGCTCCACAAGTGCCATGAGCAAATGAAGTGACGCGAAGCATGTGCCACCCTATTGACGGCCAGCGCCCGAAACGGAGGCAGGCCGAGAGGGGAATACGGATGGCGTGCGGATAGACTAGTGAAACGGCACTGGGGGAGGTATGTAATGGAGGCAGCTGGAGGCGATGGTGTACACGATAGCAAGTGGGTGAAGGAAATGAGAGTTTGGTAGCTGGGAGCATGGAGATGTGAAAAGCAATGGCATTGTCAGCGCGCGAGAGATGAGTGTGCATGCGTGCATCGAGTGGCTGCGTGTCAGGGCGACGGCGCGGTGGGTCAACGTCGTCGCGATGCAGGGCCGACTGGTGGTAGCGGACCCTATTGGCGAGCAGGGAGCATCCCCGGCCCACCTGAGGTTTCAGGAGGTGTAGGTTTAGCTATTCTTGCACGCGAGGCAGCATAGAACATCGCGACGCCCCAGACACTGCTCAGGGCCTGCAGTCCATCACTGATCTCTCGACGCTTGCTGTCGTATCCGCTCCTTCGCGCTGCTTTCATTCTTCATGGTGCCGATTGCATCCACGCCCTCCCAAAATACCCCCCATAGCACCCACCGCTCTTATCACGGCTGCTTTTCCCGCACGCGCTGCTCAGCCCCGTGTCTCCCGCATTCATCCCTCCAGGCGGCTTCGACGGCTTCTTTTGCCCGGTCGCGCGCATGACGGCCCAGCGTCATCAATCTTCCGCCGCACATTCCATGAACCCCTAGCCCGCCTGCCACTTCCTTCACCATGGCAAACCGCACCCAACGCCCGGGCGGCCTCGACTTCCGCTCTCAGTCCTTCGACCCTCCCACCACCGCCAACTCGCTCACCTCCAACCACCTCGGCCTCGGAAACCTCGCCAGCGCCAGCATGAGCAATCTGTCCCTCGGCTCCGACCTGCCCAGCCCGCGCACTGGCGAAGCGCCGCCCGCCCTCTCCCCTCTGGACGCCCTCGCCCTCCAGGGCCGCCTGCTCGCGAAGCGCTTCGAGCAGCAGGACAAGACAGGCCGCCGCCTCAGTCGCCTCGCGCCCCTCACTATCCAGAACGAGTTCGGCAACCGCGGCGGCTACTTCTCGTCGCTCTCCAACTCGACCGTCAACTCGCCCAACGAAGATGCAGGCCCCGTCCGCTCCCCGCGCCCCGAGGCCTCGCCCCGCCAGGAGATATCGTCGGACAAGCGACACCAGTCCTACTACCCGCAGTTTGGCATGGACGAGCCCGAGCCCCAGTACGCCATTGGGCCGCTGCAGAGCCCCATGGCCACCATCGCCGAAGCCAGTCCTGCGACGCCTCCCCAGAGCTACTTCGACATCCCCAGGTCGCGCTCCCCCGATTCGGTAGAGCCGCACATCGGACTGCGCGAGGCCACGCCCGTCAGTCCCCATCTCCCGGCCGCTCCTACCTCCCACATGTTCCTCAGCCCGCAGAGGAAGCGCTCTGGCGACTCGCAGCATTCCCAGCACTCGCAACAATCGCAGCCCCGCTCGGCACCGCGCTCCAACCTGCTCCCACCGCGCTCGTCCAGCTCCCTGCACTCGAACCGCTCACCGAGCATCCGCTCTGCCGCTGGCACATACGACGATGTCGAGGACATGTCTCTCAGCGGATCCTACGACTCCCTGCACCAGACGCGCAACCTGTCTCCTAGCTCCAGCCTGTCGAGAGCCCAGTCTCCATTTACGCCTGCCACTGGTCCTACCATGATTCCCCGATCACCCTCAGCTGCGTCCAACTACTCGGTCGATGGCGGCAGTCTCCCGCGCCCTGCCTACAACTTCTCAAGACCCAACTTCTCACGCCCCACAAGCCGGCAGAGCGTACGTCCGTCCTTGGACGTAAGGTCAGATGCTGGACCCTCGCGACAGCCGTCTGAGGAGAGCGTGAACATGAGGCCCTCTTTCGACGACCAGCTCCGCCGACAGGACTCTAACGATCTCCCTACTGCTCACTACGCCAACGAGCAGGTCCACACTCCCGTCAGCATGGTAAGCGAGGACTTCCGCCGGTCCGGCGAGTTCGGCAACAACCCAGCCCCGTCCTACACATACACCAGGTTCAACCTTCCTCGCGGCAGGGCCGTCGACCGCAAGTCTGTCGGCATTGAGGACTTTTTCAAACGCGAGATCAAATGGGACCAGCCTGGAGGCCAGCCTAACCAGACTCAGGCACGACCTCCTTCACCCGAATCACCGCCTCGTTCTTTCGACCAAACACGCCAGCAACAGCCACAAGCCAGGCGGGATGCCTCCTTCGACCACGGTACCCCGTCCCTCACATCCAGCAACAGCACGATCCGCGCGCGGACAGCCGGGTCTGTTGGAGAAGTCACAGCGCAGCAGCACTGCGACATGGGACTGGAGCTTCACGAAGCTGGTGAACTACTCAAGTCCACCTACCACCTTCGACTCGCAGCTCGCGCTGGTCTTCCAGAAGCCATGTTTTGGTATGGCCTCGCTTGCCGTCACGGCTGGGGCATGCGTGAGAACAAGTCCGAAGCATTGCAATGGCTACGCCGCGCCGTTGACTCCGGTCAGCTGGAAGTAGCCGACGACGAGGACCAATCCAAGCACGGGCAGCCGACCGACCTCACCAAGAAGAAGCGCCACCGCGCTCAATACGCTGTAGCTATCTACGAGCTTGGCAAATGCTACGGAAACGGCTGGGGTGCTCCTCAAGACAAGTCCCTCGCACTGCGATGCTACGAGATCGCTGGAAACTGGGGCGACGCCGATGCTCTTGTCGAAGCCGGCTACTGCTATGCCGAAGGCGTCGGCTGCAAGAAGAACATGAAGAAGGCAGCCAAGTTCTATCGCGCAGCCGAAGCCAAGGGCGTCAGCATGGTGGGCAACAGCTGGATCTACAAAGACAAATACATGGACGACGGCTCCACCACCTCGGATGAGCGCTCTGTCCGATCAGGTCGTTCCACCACCAAAGACCACTCCAAAGACAAGAAGGCCCGCGACAAAAGCAGGACTCGCACCATCTTTGGCCGCAAGAAGAGCGCGGCTGAACCTCTCCCTCCTATGGCTTGATCCCACCACCATCTCGCCTTGTACATGTGTCCACGAACCTTTCCTTTCACAATCTCTTCTCGCGCACGGCGTCTGGGTTTAAGCAAATGCTTTGGAGGTCAAAACATTTTGCCTTTCGAATACCCCATATTAACGAAATCACCTTTGCCCGGCGCATAGGCTTGGCCGCTCTTACTCTTTACTTTGGCCACCCCGCGCTTCAGCGACATTACCTGTTTTGGACCACCGCCTTTTTGATCGAATACCTTCGACATGTCGATGTACCACCTACCTTTCCTTTTTTCGTCTCTCCGGGTTCGGTTTTCCATTCGTTTCCTTTGTTTATACCATTGTGCGTTTGTGCGGTGTGCCCATGGGCCGCCATTTCCTTTCCTTTTCCTTATCTTGATTGGACTCTCGAAGAAGTTCATGTGTACGTAAAGTCTAATTTACCGGTACTGGTGTACCTGGGCTGGGCTAGGCTAGGGTTGGCAAAGAGGAAAGCTCTCTCATCTCTGACGTTGGAAGACAAGTGTCATTTCTCTCTATCTGGGTCACGGCTGCTTTTCCATTGTTTGGTCAAGAAAAAGGGATTTCGGGATTACTAAAGGCTGTGAATAGGTTGGGCTTTTCCTCTGTTGATATCCCGAGCGTAGCTAGCTAGCAAGCAAAGTCTCTTCCTTCATACCTGATGATGGGTGTGTGGAAGGGAGGAAATTGAAAGTTGAAGATGTATAACTACGCTTGCACTTTTGGTTGGTGATTGTGTTGGTGACTTTGGTCTTGATGCAAGTCGATAAAACTGATGCACTGCGCACAAGCACAGCTTGGGCAGCAATCGGGCTGATAGTCGTGCCTGCCCGTTTGACCGGCGCGACTTCCGCCATCGCATCCTCATCCGACGTTTCTCTCTCCACCCGTCAATCACCACAAACAACAAATGAACTGATGCTCTTCAATTTCCTACTCCTTTTCCGTGCACATTCTGCAAATGCCGAACATATCAGCACTGTATATGTACACGACGACATGTCCATGTTTGACGGCATCAGCAAAGGGCACAGGGTCCGCAGCCAACGAAACCGCGCGCCTTCCGGAACCACTTCGATCACGCGTGAATTTAAGCTACGTTTTTTCATGGCTATATGCGGTGGCCTGAGGAACGTGAAGGTAGGGTGTTCGTAGAGTAATCGGGCGCCGATGTCGCATCATCGTGGTGTCTGTAAGTAAAATATATGGCAAGTTCTTTCACCTAAGACAGTTCGCACATCAATTCCTGTCTTCCTCTTCAAGAAGTCCATCTGAAGATAATGCGAGGGGTCTGCACGCGGTAATCCCCGGGCTGAGTGCAGAGTCAACTGGTTTTCTTCGAGCTTCCGACACCGCTTCACCTCTCGTCGGTCGCTGTGACAACCAGCGCTCACTTTACACACCACGTCCACAGCTTAGCACCTCTGCTACCCATCCCAGGCAATTCTTCGTCCTACTGCGATCTTACGACAACTGTCCTGAAGGCCAATCCCACCATGCCTTCACTAAAGGACCTCAATTGCGCCATCGAGCTATCCGGGAGTCAACAAGCACTGCGAGAGTTCGGCACCATATACGGCGACGGTTTCGTAGAAACCTTCGTCCCCGTACCCAGCAAGCCACAGTCTTTCTCCATTCACCTCACCTCCAATAAGTTCATCGCTCCGGGCGTCGCCATCTTCGTCTACGTCGACGGCGTTTATCAGTGCAACCGCAATAGGCAGGATTTGAAGCTACGGAAGCCTTCCGATAGTCGCTCTCTTGTCGACTTTCGCGTAAGGCAGAAGGAAGAGAGGCAAAAAGATGGGTCGATGATTGCGAGGGAGTGGGCTTTTGATAAACTCAACATTGGTATGTGTTGCGAGGACTTCATAGAACCGCAGTCTGCTAACTGTGCGCAGCTTCAGCGGACGATGCACCGAATGTTTGTTCGCCAAACGTTCTCGACAACATAGGCTGCATAGAAGTCGTCGTTCTACGATGCGCCGGTACGCGCAATGCCAAATCTGCCTCAACGATGAATTTTGATGGAGCAGGAGACTTCCCAGATCACCGGTTCGGCGTAGATGATAGCTCATCGCCATCTAACGAGAGGTCTATGTACGATGATAGAGGGCCATTCTTCAGCAACTTTGGCAATAGCCATGGTCCACCACCGCCTCTCCCGTCTTATCGCTCGCCATATGCCGAAACGGTACGTAGCCCGCAAGGCTCGACATCGAGAACTCATCGCACTACATACGGAGCTCAGGAGCTCTTCCCTCCGGCGGCTATTGTAAACCACTCGCGGCCACATTCCAGATACTCAGAGCCTATCAGTCCGGGGGCGCGGCGCACCAACGACCTTCCTCCGTCAGGTTTTCAGTACGGCAGCGGTCCTATCCCGCGCGACGGAGAACCATATAACACGCATCCTCCTCATGTCAAAGCGGTGCAACCTCCTACTGTGGATCCAATGTGGTTGAACAGTCTTCTTACGACAGCAGTCAAGCAAGGAGTGGAAGAGTCGCGACGAATGGACACACAATCAGAAGGACAGGCGAAGTACAAGGAAACACATTTTGATGCAAAGTCTGCAAGTCAGCCACCAGGAGCGTGGCCTGAATCTCCATTCGATGCCCCAACACAACCACATCAACACATAGAGCAGCCGGTTTTCTCCTCGCGCGATCACCAGAGCGAACACGGTTCAAACTGGGCTAAGTCACAGCCTGGCTGGGGCGAACGACCTCCACGAAGTAGAGCAGGGACCCATGTTACCTGGAACGCCGAGCCTGTTTTCGAGACCAACTCCTCCAGTGCCGGATGGAACGCACGGGAAGACACCCCGTCCGACGCCTGGGACACTGGAGATACTTGGCCGACGGACAAGGCAGCTGAATGGGACGCCTCCAGCCAACAGGGAAAACTCTGGGTGACTAATCCTCCTAGTCACTATCATCTGAGGTCTAGCTCCCCAGTCACTCTTCCCAAACATGATCGACGGCGCTCGAAGCACGAAACGAAACGAAGTTCACGTTCCAAATCGCGGTCAAGACGTTCACGCCGAGATCGAGACATCACTTCTTCAGAAGAAGACAGCGGGAGTTGGGATCGTCTCGAACGGCCTTCAGACTCTGTGGTCTCGCTGAGTAGCTCCGACGCTACTCTCCAGCCATCGCGTTCTCACAGTAGGATACAGCCCTCACGACAGAGGTCGAAGAGTCGTTCCCGACGTGCAAAGTCGGTACAGCGAGAACATGAGCGAAAGCCATCGAAGCATTCCCATCGTCATCCGTCTTCGAGGCCTGCGGATGAATTCCCAGCCGCTGGGCCTGCGCCATCGATCATCACGCGAATGACACCGACAGTTATGAATGCGCCTCCTTCTGTCGCCCCGGAACAAGTACAATCACGACAGCCCAGTGCTTACGCTAACCCACCTGCTTCGGTTATACCTACCCCAGAGTGGGGAGCTGCTGTTCACGAGGCTATGAGGAAGCCTAGCAACGTTCCGAGCAACACGTTCCCAGCCCCATATGCACTGTCGATGAAGGACTTTGTTCAGAGTACAGCTGGTGAAAAACTAGGAGGCAATCGACCACCTTCGCTTGCGTCTTGGGGTAACGACAAGAACGATCACACTGAAAATCCTTCTTGGGTCACAGAGACCGAGAAGAACACCGGTTGGGGCAAGAACAGTGACAGCGGGTGGCAAGAAAAGAACCTCAAGGAGAACGATAAGAAGGGATGGTACTCAACCGATGATGATCAGGCCGGAGGCTGGAACGAGGCCGATGACAACAAGAAGATCCAGGCGGACAGTGACTGGAATAGGAAAGACAACGGTTGGGGTAATCCCCCATCCTCACCAAAACAAGAGCGAGTGGACAAGATGAACGACTGGGCCGGCCTCAAATCCGCCTTGACATCCGCTTTCGCCAACCCACCAGCACCAGCACCAGAAAACGCCTGGCCAACCCAATCATGGAGCTTTCCCGCCGACAACGCCATACAGTCCGCTATCCAACAGCCCGCTATTACACCCTTTGCTTCCGCTCCAGCACCGCCAGCCCCGGCACCAGAGAAGGGCAGATCACCTACCCAACGCATGAGCAACAAAACCCTCTCTCGATACCGTCCCAACTACAACTTCCCCTCCCGCATCCATCCCAAACCCACGCCAAACTTCACGGCTCAACCACACTGGCAGTTCCCTCCTCCTCCTTCTACTTCCACAACCAAGAATCTCCTGCGTACCACCTCCTCAAACTCTACATACATCGCACCCGCAGAACCACGTCTTACCATCAGCAAATCCACATCCAGTACAAAAGGTATCGAACACGCAGTCCGCGCGGGCAAAGCAACGGAGTACGGTCATGTTGTTGGACGACCGGAGTATCTAGATCGTTTGGAGAAGCCGTATGCGGTGTTTCGGTTTAAGTATCGGAGTGAGGGGGTGTTGAAGGGGTTGGGTGTACTTGGGGAGGGTGACATGGACGTTGCTAGAGATGGGGAGAAGGAGAAAGTGGAGAAGTTGAAGAGTGTGCCGCAGGAGGAGTTGATTGCGAAGATGTTGGCTTTGGAGAGGAGGTTGAAGGGTAAAGATGATGGGGAGGGTACTACTGTTGCTGATGGTGGAAGTGGGAAGGAGAGGAAGCACAGTAAGAAGAGCATTGATAAGGAGAAACAGAAGCAGAAGCAGAGGAGGCACAGTGAGAAAACGGAGGCGCATGGCGATGGCCGGGTGAAGGACTTCACGGAGCAGTGGGTTGAGCGGCATTCGAGAGATCCGAGTGTCATGGCGAAGAGTGCGGTTGTTAAGGAAGTAGGCTGGGAGGGGGATGATCAGAGGAAAGGGAAGGGAGCGGTGGGAACGTGGGGACAGGATGTGAATGAGGGATGGGGAGGTGGAGATGTGACATGGTAGACTTGATGATAGCTAGTTAGTCAGTCTTCGGATCGACAACGGAAGGGCCTGATGTGTAAGTGTATTTTGTACGTATAGACATCGATATAGATAGACCAAACAGAATCATTATCAGCTTGAGCTACTACCCCTCCTCCCCCAACGATCAGAACTTAGCAAGTTCATCCTCACTTCCCTCTCCATCTACATCAACCCACCTCCGTTTCCTCACTTCCAAACCCCCTAGACTTTTTCTCTTCGCCGCACTCTCCTTCGCCGGTGTACCCCTCCTCGTCCATTCCCTCTTTATCCGTTTGTGGAATGCTTTTCGGTCGGCTTTTGATGTTGATTTGCTGCCTTTGTCGCTACTGCCGTCGGCATTGCGGATCTTGGGAGTTTGGTATGAGGTGAAGGGGATAGCGGTTTGCGGGGTGGCTGGTTCGTGGTTCCGGTTCAGAGACGGAGTTGTAGGATTGGGCGGAGAAGGGAGGAGTTCGTCTTCGGTGGAGGTGCCTATGAGGTCGAGGGATGGGCTTTTCCGATGGGAGGTGGTATGTGTCTTTTGCGGATTTGGTAATTGGATCGTGTCAGGCTTGATAGTTTCTGAAAGTCCGATGTTCATGTTGTGAGGGGTATGGTCGTTCTGGAGCTCGTCTTCGGTTTCTTTTGAATCGGGTATCACTTCGGCAGGTGGTGTTGCATGCTTTCGTGTTCGAAGTGTGGTTGGTGAGGAGAAGGCTGGCTCAACTTTGATTGCTATGCAAGAAGATTCCCTGACGGGTGTTGCGATGGTGTCGTGCGTTGGTAATTCTGCAAGCAAGTCATTTTGTAGAATGTCTTCATCGACCAGATCTCTCGTCTCGATGGACGGTAGTATCACATCTTCCGATACATCTACAATGGTGTCGTCGTCGTCGTGGTTCATCGGGAGTTGATCCTCGTCGGAATCATCGCCAGCAAGAGATAACAGATCACGATCATCGTCGTTGAAATGCGTGCTTGACGATCGCAGATTCTGAACACCATCTTCTGTCGACCGGACGACAAGGCTCTGATGATAGTCTTCATGCTCGGATGAACTTGGTGTCGGTAGATGGTGCGGCGGCTTCGATACGGCGGGATTTTGTTCCTTAGAGACCTGATCTTCCCCGACAACGCGATCGCTCGTAGGAGCTACAACAGACTCTTGCAGGTGTAGATTCTGATTCTTGATCACATTCCAGCGATTGTGAAGTGCGCTTATTGGCCACTCCTTCCACTTCTGTTGACCATCTTTGATGACGGCCCACGACACACCGTCTATTCTCCTGCGCTTGCTTATGTAGACATCGTCTTCGTGAGTGAAGTTGTATCTCCTTGCAGTCCTGGGAATGCGCCTTTGGATCTCAACACGTGGACTGGTTCGACGAGGTCTCGTTGGTGAGCTTTCATCCGGTCTTGTACGAATTAAGGCGCAGGGTTTTCCATCAGGCACATCCCTTAAGATAGTGTGTGAGTGTTGCGGCCCCGTCTCTTTCGCTATTGGTGCTGTCGTATAGCTTGTGAGGGGACTCGACTGGGCGATTGGACATTGGCGTGTCTGTGCAGACAGAGGCGGAAAGATCCATTTTGGGTCCGTCGCAGGCGCTACCTTGTCATCTGTTGTTATTGGAGTAATCGGCGGAGGGGCGGCGTTTGCGAAGGGTATCGAAGCGTTTGGTAGTACAAGACCGGCTACGGCTTGGTTGACAGCTTGGTGAATTGTTTGCATTAGACTGGCGTGAAAAGCGCTTTGTGCTTGCTGTCCCGCAGGCGTTTGCGGAAACTGAAGATGTCGTAGGAGGTCTGCGGTGGGGTTCGAAGGATTGGGCGTTTGCGGAACACCGGATTGCGGTATGGATGTTGCTGACAAGTCGTGCTGAGGTATTGCAGGCTGTGACGCATTGGTCTCGGTGACTGCGGTCTGTTGTTTGCTCATGTCTTGCTCAGGCGGTCCAGCAGCCTTTGGCTTGACCACCTGCGGGGGTGCCAGTTCGTCTTCCGAATCTTCCCCCTCTCTCTTCTCTTCGTCGTCATCTCCATCATCCTCCGAATGGCTTCCATTTCCCATGACGATAGATTCCAGTAACGTCTTCTCTTTGCCATTGGCCCGACGCTTCAGTCTTCGCAGATGACCTCTATCCACAACCACCCGGTTTGTGTTGAAGTCGATTTCGTCGCTTTGGGATGGATTCATATTTCCAAATTTCTCAAATATAGACTCAAATCGGCTTTTGAGCTTCTGCTGTTGTTTCTGCTTGGCCTTGATGTATTCGGCATTGTCTTCGTCGACCTCGACTGAGTGCAGTATGCGCATGCGCTTTGCCGGCGGTCCCATGGCGCGTGTTGCCGCGCACTTTAGCAGCGAGCATGTGTCTCAACCAGCGTAAGGGCGGTGTAGAATAGGGGTCGGTGTGTGGGTGGTGGGCGTTTGCGGGTAAGACAGTTTCTGATTGCGATGCTGTGATTGACGCGAACAGCGAGACGCGACGCGGTTTCCTCGGCAGGCACCCGACACTTAGCGGCAGCCCCACCCGCATGCAGGTGATCGCCAGTGAACCGCAACCGTCATTCCGTCTGCGCCTTGGAATAGACGACCTCTCTCCAAGCATGAAGAATAACAGCTCATGACAAAATGGCCATCGACAAGAAACAGACAGCCCTGGCTTGTCAGAAATGTCGCACGCCCATAGACATCGACGCCTCCATTGACCAGCTCAACCCGGCCGCCTTTAAGCTATTGACTGGTACACGTCTATCTTGTAGACTATCACGTATCAGACTAACATGTTTTAGACTCGACGGTATCAGGCCAACAGCCAGCATCACGCATATCCCCCAACCGCCAGTCGCGCCCTCCGAACCCGCCCGAGCACCTCAAGACATATCAAGATGCCGCCAAAGACGCCAGGAACCCTACCTTCAAGCGCAACATCCAAGGCGCACCGCCTTCGGGACCCTCAAATGGCCCCCAGAATCCGGCCATGTCGTTCATCGACGTACACATGTCCGAGTCGATGATAGACACACCCTCTGCGGCCGTCCGTAGTCCGGATCGGAAATCACAAGCAGGCGAGACGAAGCCGAATGCGAATGACAAGACACGACGGAAGAGCTTCTCAAATGGACTGGGCATACAGGGAGGCGCGAGTCTGGCCGATACACTGGAAACGACAAACCGCATGTTCGAGATACTATCAGCACGCTCCGACGTCGACCACCCTATATGCGTAGAGTGCACCGAGCTGCTCATCGAGGGCCTGCAGAAGCGCCTAGGCGTAGCGACCCGCGAACGCGACGCATACGTCGACTACCTGCGCCGCGCCAACACCGACGTGCCCAGCGCCGAAGAAGTCAAAGCCGCCGAAGCCGCCCTCAAAGCAGCCAAGAAAGCCGAAAGCACCGCCATCACGCAGCTCGAGAACCTCGAAGCCGAAAAGGCCGAACTAGACGCCCAGCTCGCCGCCCTAGAAGTCGAGAGCCGGATCCTCGACCAAGAAGAAAGCGAGTTCTGGAAGAGCAGAAACGCCTTCAACACCACCTTGACCACGATCCAAAACGACCGCGACGCTCTAGCCACGCGATACGCGCATGATGCTCAAATTCTAAATCAGCTACAAAGGAGAAGTGTATACAACGACACCTTCAACATAACCCACGACAACCACTTCGCCACCATCAACGGCCTCCGCCTCGGCCGCCTGCCAAACCCCTACGTCGACTGGCCCGAAATCAACGCCGCATGGGGCCAAACCTGTCTCCTCCTCGCCACCCTAGCCGACCGACTAAACTACAAGTTCGACGGCTACGAACTCTGTCCCATGGGCTCTACATCCACCATCACGCGTATCGAAACGAAAGGCGGCACCGGAAACACAGTGTCTGAATCAACACGCCAACAACCTCAATCTACAAGCGCCAACTCACCCCAAGTAACAAGACAAAAACTCGAACTCTACTCCTCCGGCGACTTCCCCATCAACTTTGGTTTTCTACATAGAAAGTTCGATACGGCTATGGTTGCGTTTCTGGAATGTCTACGGCAATTGGGCGAGTTTGTGGAGAACTCTGCTGCTGCACCGTCACACGTCGCAGGTGGTGTTGGCGCGGGTATGGCAAGCCCTGGAGGTGGACCACCAGGCGGCGTCAAGATGCCGTATGAGATACAGAAAGATCGCATTCATGATCAGAGTATCAAGTTGGCGTTGAATAAGGATGAGGGATGGACGAAGGCGTGCAAGTATACGTTGACGTGTTGTAAGTATTTGCTTGCGCATGCGAATAACGTGGAGAGTTTGGGGGCGAGGAGGAGGTAGGGTTGAGAGGAATGAGTTTTGCTCATTTGATACGAATAGGTTAGATTAGATACCCCATTGATTTACTCTGTGTTTATAGACTTGGTATACTTTCTCAGTTATGGTAATGGGTGATCGTGACGGGTGACCACGAGTTGGTATGTTCATATGATAGTCTTGTGCGTCTACTCACTTTTTTGTGGGAACTAGGGAATGAGTATTCTGCGTCAAGTGCTCTCAACTTCCAATTTCCCTCCCCGACGGTGCAACGTAAGCAAAATGTCAATTTTCACAACTAGGCGATCACATTCGAACTTAGAAGATGTATCTTTATCCAATATAGAGATTGGATAGTCAACTCGATCATCACAGGTCAAGCTACGATGGCTGCGTTGATGAATGTATTACTTTATTTCATTTATCTCGTGGCGCAGATGTCTAAACAAGCGAACTATAGAAAGCGGAAGAAGAACAACAACGCAAACGTCTACATGATATCGCACTTTGCAGGCAATCCACATGGACCCTCCTTATCCTTCTCTTCCGGTCCCTTCTGCTGAGGCTGCGATGAAGAAGCAGCGGCAGGAGCAGATGTAGCAGCAGCAGGCGCAGCAGTAGTAGTACCGTTGGTCGCCGCTCCCGCTCCATCTACTCCCTCTACGCTCTTCTCACCCACAGCATCGCCAGCAGTCTTTCCGCCATCTAGTC